AACAAAATACAACATTGTTTATAAAGTTTATTTTAACTTATTTTCATAAATTTTTAAAAATAATTTGAAGGCTTATTTTTTATATTTTAAATTAAAATAAAAAATAAAATATAATACTAATAAAATTATTCATATCTATTTAAATAAGTGAGTCTAATAGATTTTTTTTAATTATAGTATGTGGTCTAGTATATTTAATCAAATATACTTATGAAAAAGCATATATTTTTTCTATTTAAAAAAAAATATGGATCTGAGTATGTAAAAGCAAAGCCATAAATCTAAGAAGATTTTTTAATTCACTCCATGATACTCTTAGGCACCTAGTGAATTTTCTTTTATGCCCCCTACTTCTGGAGATACACATCAGGACACACTTTTTTTTTGGTCAAAATTTGAATGTTTCTGAAGTTACATCTACAAAATAATTTTCTACTGGTATACGTTGAGAAAAACTTCAAAATAATTCAGTTCAGAGAAACTTCCGTAGATGCACCTCTAGAATGTCTAAGCGCCAAAATGTTTTGTAGATACAACTCCGGAAGTTTCTGCTATATTTTAAACCTGCATGATCGCTCCCCATTGTTGTCTTTTCTTCTTCCACACTCACCTTCACCAACCTAAAAAAATCATACATTCTCAATATCATTTTCACTCCAAAATTCCAACTTTTTTCGTGCAACAAATCAAATGGAGTAAGAGAAGATAGAATTTCAGGTAAAGATTTCACTTTGTCCACTACATTTCTCACATTAATCATCAAAGTTTTGGAAAAAAAATTTAATGTTGCTTCCGGAGCTGTACCTCCGAAACGTGTTGAAGATGAACACTTCCGGATGTACACCTCCGGAACATATCTGTTCTGTTTTTTAACAGCAGATTTGTAATTTTTGTTTATTTTTCTTATTGTTTACAAATAGATATGGTGCACTGCGATAATATCTCTAAAGAATTAGTTTCCACAAACGACGTTTCTCCGAATGTTCAAGGGGTTGTCGTAAAGTCGGTAGATGTCGGCGTTGACTTTAATAACAAGCAAGAGTTTGACGATCGTGATAGCATGCTCACATGGATTCGTAGGACTGCAACTAGATTTGTTTTTAGTGTGGTTATAGGAAGATCAGATAATGGTTCAGAAAGAAGAAACACTTTTGTAACTTTGTTGTGCGAAAGAAGCGAAAAATATCAGACTCCTCTACGGAAGTTTAAAAGAGACGACACCGGTAGTAGAAAATGTGAATGTCATTTTAAGATTCGTGGTTACATGTTGAGTACCAAAAAGTGGAAATTTAGTGTTATTTGTGATTTGCATAACCATGGATTGTTCTTAAAGTTACAAGGTCATCCTAGTGTATGTCGGCTCAAGCTGGAAGAGAAGACATGTATTAGTGACATGACCTTGAATCTTGTCCAACCGAAAAATATACTTGCCACATTGAAACGGAAGGAACCCGACAATATATCAAATATAAGACAAATGTATAATAATAGGTACCTCACCAATAAGGCGATTAAGGGAGATAAAAGTGAGATGCAACAACTGTTGAAATTGTTGGATGATAACAATTACATGTCCCGGTACAGAACTTGCGACGATGGAGTTACGGTCTGAGATATTTTATGGACTCATCCGGATTCGATAAAGTTGTTCAACACGTTCTCGACAGTGCTCATTCTTGATTATACATACAAGACCAACAAGTATAAACTTCTTTTATTTGAGATGGTTGGTGTTTTGTCTACCGAGAAGACATATGCCATTGGTTTTTCTTTTCTGGAGTGTGAAAAAGAGGACAATTTTACATGGGCATTAGAGGTGTGTCGGTCACTTTTGAAAGACCAAGTTGAGATGCATAAATCGGTTGTTACCGACCGTGATATTGCGTTGATGAATGCGGTTGCAAAGGTATTTCCTTCTTCTAATGCATTACTTTGTCGATATCACATAACAAAGAATGTGAGAAGTTGGGTTAAACCCGCGGTAGGGGTAAAACAAGTAGAGTCCGAGGGTGGAAAATTGGTCAAGGCCGATGTGATTGTTGAAAAAATAATGGATGCATGAAATGTTATACTAAATTCTTCCACAAAAGAATTATATGTCGATTTTGTCATTCAATTTCGGAAAGTGTGTGAAAAGTATCCTGCTTTATTGAAATACGTTGAAAGCACCATTCTTGATCAAGTGAAGGAGAAAATAGTATGTGCGTGGACTGATAATGTCTGACACCTTGGAAATATAACCACCAACAGAGTTGAGTCGGCCCATGCTAGTTTGAAAAATTGGTTGGGTAATATCAAGGAAGATTTGTGTCGAGATTGGGACTCCGTAAATCTCATGATTAAAAACCAACATAATGAGATATAAAAAATATTTGGTCGGAGTATAACGGTATTGGAACATCGATTTAAAGACAATATTCTTTATTCTCAATTGATCGACAATATGTCTCGGTCGGGGTTGAACTATATTTTTCACGAGGCCAAACGAGCTGAAACTGTAGGTTCTAATAGCTCAAAGTTCGGTTACACTATTGTGAAAACCTATGGTCTTCCTGTGTTTGTGTTATTACTACAAAGCTGAAACTAGGTGAGCCAATAAGAATGGACGAAGTTTTCTCTCATTGGAAAAGACTTAGTTTTGATGATGTTGGTTGCATGGAAGAAGGTAAACCGAATATCTCTATTTTGACCGAATGGGAAGCGATACAAGAGAGATTCTCAAAGGCCGATGACAATATGAAACTCCACATCAAAGAACAATTGAGGAAGATTGCCTATCCCGAAACAGCCGACATGAAACCTCCTTCTCAACCGATAAAGACAAAAGGTGCTCCGAAGAAACTGAAGCTTACACCAAATGACATCTCGACTACACAGTCTCATTCTTATTGTGAGCACGTTGACAAAATTTATCCTGACTCACCGACTCCTAAATCTCAAAAAGTGTCACGAAATGAGTCTGCATAAGCAAACCGCCTCCAACCCCGATTCCATGGGAAATTCCATTCATCGACGAGATGTCGGTTTTTATGCACAAATACATCGGTCGTATCGTCAATGTTGAAGGGGATGGTAATTGCGTTTACCGAGCCGTTTCAGCTTTGCTTGGTAAAGGAGAGGATAATCATGCGCTTGTCCGTCATCAATTAATCCAAGAGTTAAAGATGCATAAAGAATCGTACACATGGTTGTATGGAAATAAAGAAAAAAATGATGCGGTTTATGAATCTCTTGTTCCTTCCTTGAGTGGTCCGGCACCGGTGTCGAAATGGATGATCTTCCCTGATATGATCATTTTATTGCATGTGCATATGATAGGGTGTGCATTGACTTGAGCGATATGGTTTTTCAAAAATCTTTTTTTCACTCCGCACCGCACCACATCAAAATCCAAATGATTGCATCATGTGTATTGGATGGCTTACAAAATCAAGACATTTTGTACAAGTTTACTTGAAATTGGGATGCCACATACAAGCCAAATCACCGGAATGGACGACTCATTCAACCGCAAATGTTGAGACGTGGTCAGATTGTTATGTTGAAAGGATGCACGAATTCAAAAGATTGAACAACATTGAAAAGGAATTGAATGCGGAAAAGTCCAAAGGGGTATCACCAATAGATTTATCCGGCGACACTTGTTTTGATTCGTTTTGAATTCTTGTATAATCGAATGACTAGTTGTAAACTTTTTGAAGTGCAAAATAGTCACTTTTATTCTTATGCCTTATTTATCCACTTATGCTCTTTTATTTGTCTATTATGATGTGCTTCTATATTGAGTTCAGGTTTAAAAATGTAGCAGGGAAAGTTCCGGATATGCATCTATGGAAGGTTCTTAATTTTGTAGTTTCAGGGGAAGTTCCGGAGATACACCTCCAGAAACAATAATTATGGTTTCGTTCCGTGAATATAGCTCCGGAAAAAGATTGACAGAAAATGGTTGGTCCATATTCACCTAGGTTTTCTATAAATTTGGGGTTCCATTTGTTATCCTTCACACAAATACAAAAATGTCTCAATTGTTTGAAATCAAGTTCCGTTGGTATGTCGCATGTGTCTCCTTTTCGACGTCAAAACACCCGGAAGGACGTTCAAGCTCATGGATCTCACCCCTCTCGCCGATATCATAGACGAGATCCAATATCGCCTACCTTACAATGACAAACAAAATGTTGTGAAGTTTGAATATCGTTCATCTTCAGTTGACAATGAGGGAACATTGTTTACAACAAGTTTGGCCTCAAGAATTAAGACGGCGTTAGGGCGATGTGACGAACATATTTCTATTTTGAAGAGAAAATTCCGTTCGAGTTGGAGGCGATGGTCCGAAGAACGGTCGATGACATCTTAGAGATGTGCAAGCATCCACCGGGCTATTAAAATGTAGTATTTAAATTTCTGTCGAAATCATCAATGTAACGCCGATTTTATTTTATAAATGTTGATTTTATCGTTGCAATGTTGATTTTTTAGTTTGCTGATTCTAAGTCTCTTCCGTATATACACATACATAAATATTTCATAGATGAATCTATGGAATTAATTAAAAAGAAGTAAAAAAAAGTACGTTTAGAGATACATCTCTAAAAGTAGGTGAAATATTTTTGTCAACGCGCATGGTGCCTAAGAAAGTCAAAGAGTGCCATAAAAAATTAAATCTAATTGGTATGACCTATTATCAGCCCTTAATTCAATTCCCTCTCCCAAATTAATCAAACTATGAATATGTATATGAAAGCATTATGAATGTTGCTTCCATTATTATGTGAGAAACAGTTTTGTCATTAATTTCTTCGTATAATATGACAGAATCTTGAACAAAAACACAATTGGATTCTTTTGGGACATCAAAAATTAAATCACAACATGCTAACTAGAACAAAAAGACTGGCTTAACTACCAAGCTCAGTAAGATCATTGAGAAACGCATTCCCAAATCAAAAGAAGTTTATAAATGAGATATGGCCTATTATATCAATGGGGTTAAAATGTTTTTACAGTTGCTGAGCATTGTCACTAAATTGGCTCAGCATGATTGCTAAGTCCATGCCTCTTATCATGGTAGGCACAACTGTGCTGATCGGACACTTTTTCGAAAATCCAACTTTCCCAGATTTCTGTACTTTGGTTAAGCACTTTTTAAACTTGTTATGGCATTTCACATTAGTCATTCCTGTAAAACAATGTTAAGTCAGTTTAAAGCAATAGGCCTCAAGGTAATAGAAAATGTAAAGGAGAATCAGAAAAATAATCGCTTTAATAATGGCATGTCCCTGTTTTCATGCAGCTACTAGCTAACTAGCTAATGTCTATTTCATTCCTCAATTCCTTCCATGACATTTGAAACTTCTTAGTTCCCACACTACATTAGTACCAAGATGTTTTACTTCTAAATAATTTTCTTTTGGGTGCTCACCAAAGATTATCCATCATATGTATAGGGTTTGTAACAGGTAAGATGAATTTAAGTAACACAACAAAAACTTAAATTACATAGCAGCATATTTTATTCAGGAACAAAAAGCATATGACAACATTTCTCCTTGTATAGGCGAGTGAAAAGTTAAAGAGTAGAGTGATAAGAATGTAGAGGGTTTGATTCTCACCTCAAACATTCACACAATCACATATTTTGATCGCACATGAGATCATTAGATCATATTCTAGGTTGTATTTTAAAGCCGATTTGATGAAGTTTAAGTACAGGCTATTCAATTTTTATCTAGCGGATAAAAAGTAGTCAAATAGCTAGAGATAGAGGAAAACTTAGAGAAACTATAAGAGAAAAGTTATTAAAAAAGATCTCGAGATTAACAATTTGGATAAAAATATAATTTTGAATAGAACATTACGGTAGAAGTTGATCCATATAACTAATCCCATGGGAAAAAGCTTGGTTGTTGTAGTTGAGATCTTTTGATTATGCCATTGTGTGATTCTCATAAACAATGCCAACCAATGCTAGTATTTCAGTTCTCCAAAACTTTATATATTTTATAAGCTAGGATTTCAGCTAGTCCACCTCTTAAACTAATGAATTTCAGATCACTCAAATCATCCATGGATGACAGAGGAAAATGGTAAACAACAAAATTGTGATGATAATAGATCATAAAACATCCTATACCAAACAACAAAATTTTGATAACAGAGCAACCAACACGCTTTCAAGTCTCTAGCATCCAATGATACACACACAAATGTCAGCTTCTCATTAGAATAATTTACAGAATTGGATTCATCAAAAACACAACACCTACATATATTCTGTTGAGCTTGACGTATATACCACTTGTAACACTAAAATCCTAATTCATTGAAGTAATAATGCAGATTACAACTTCTCTGTAGTGACAGACGTAGACACACTTGACCTAACTAAGTAAACAAATATTGTGTTTGTTTATGTATTTATTTACTCTTTAGTTATTAGTATCTGTTCTAAAATATTCCAAATACATAAATATCTACCTACATTAAACTCTCAAGAAGAATTCATTCAACATTTAAAAACCAAAGCACTAATTTGAAAATGCAAGCAATCACACATAAATAGATATAAATAACATAATTCATGATTAAGCAGCTACACAATTAGTGCAATTAAGAGAAAAAAATGAAGAAAAGAATAGAATGGGAATGTACCGAATTCGCCAACACAATCATCATGAGCCATGCAACACGCATCAACATCATCACACGGTTTCTCGCCGATGCAACCTGAATAACCTACCCCGCAATACTTTCCGTATTTGATTCCCATCGCTATAGTAATTAATCAACGTAACAAACAACATTAACAATTGAAATGGAAATAATCATATAATTAAGATTCAAACAAATAATAATAACAATAATGAAATGGAATTGAATGAATCTTACTGTCACATTGCTCTGCGATGCATTTCCTGCTACAAATTCCCTGTGATTGAATCACAATATTATAATTTGGTCAACGTTTTCGATCCAATTGCTCCGAATCCCATAAAATAATAATTGATGAATTCTAATATGTGATTATGGAGAATGAGAGAGAACATACATCGGCGGCGGAGAAGCGGAATACGGCGGAGAGGAGGAGAGAGACGAAGGCAAATGCGGTGGTGGCGCGTGAGATATTGATGCGTGAAGTCATTTTTTGGATTTTGGGCGTGAAGCGGAGAGAGTCGTGATTTGGTCTTCTCTTATTTTATCATTGGTGTGATTTTCTTGTTTGAAAGAGAAAGTGTGTTGGATTTACCAAATTGCCCTTTTGATATTTGCAACGTGATTGCCTAAAACGTGATTCTCATTGGTTGGAGCAAATGTATTTTTTAATTTTCTTCTCATTTGATTATTGATATTGATTATATTTTTTTAAAGTTACTTTATTTAAAACTAAAATTTGTACCATTTAAATATAAATATGATTTCTACACTTAAATTTACGTTAAATTCACTTTCACATAAATTTATCTAAATACAAATAATTTTATTTTCAATTTACTTTTAAATGTAATAAATTTTGCAAAATCAATTTTTTTTCACCATTCAATCAAATACCCACATTACGTGCATATAAAAAATAATACCTACAATATGTGTAATTATTCTATTATTATATGAGAAACAATTTTCTCATAAGCATGCTTGGACAATAACACTACTAGTTTCTTCTGTTACATCACAAATAAAATCACAACATGGTAACTGGAACAAAAACATTGGCTTATTCCCAAGCTAAATGAAACCATTGAGATCAACATTCCCAAATGGAGAGAAGTTTATAAATGGGATATGACCTATATACAATGGATTATATATTATTCATAATGTTTTTATAGAGCAGGAACAGCTTCGCCCAATTGGCTCAGCAAGATGGCCATGTCCATGCCTCTTATCATGGTAGGCACGGCGGTAGTGATCGGACACTCTTTCGAAAATCCGACTTTCCCATATTTGTGTACCCTCGTTAAGCAGTTCCTTAACCTTACATGACATTTCACATGAGTCATTCCTGTAAAACAATAATTAAAAAGATGAGTCTCAACATAATACAACTTCTAAAAAATAATCATGTATATATAACATCAGACATCAGAATCGTCTTAAATTTTAAAAGACTCCGTGTCATATGCAGTAATTCGTCTTGCAAGTCTTTATTGAGAATTTTGCATGAAAAAATGCAGAGAATAAATGTACCGAATCTGCCAACACAATCGTCATGATTCATGCAACACGTGTCCGCATCATCACACGGTTTCTCGCCGGCACAACCCCAGTAATCTATCCCGCAATACTTCCCGTATTTGATTCCCATCGCTATATTTTTCATCAACATAACAACATTAACAATTAAGATTGAAAAATATAATAATAACAATGAAATGGAATGGAATTGAATTGAATGAATCTTACTGTCACACTGCTCCACAATGCATGTTGTGCTGCAATTTACCTGTCATCGAATCACAATAATACAATAATGAGTTCAATGTTTTCAATCAATTACTCAAAATTAATAAACCAACATATAATTACTATTAATAAATTGTAATTTGGAATTATGAAGAATGAGAAAATGTACTTCTGCGACCGAGTATCGGAATACAGTACAGAGAAGAAGAGAAATGAGGGCAAATTTGGCGGTGGCGAGGGAAGTCATTTTGTGATTTGTGGAAAAGAGTCCTGAGTTGGTCTTCTTCTCTTCTTATATGTTTCTAATTAGGGCATGCTTTTGGGATGGAAAGAGAATGCATGCTAAATTTTCCAAAGCATCCTTTTGATTGTTATAATGTGATTGGCTATAAAAAGTGATTATAGTTGAATGGAACAAAATGCAGTTTAAAATTGGAGGTAACTTAAAATAAAATGTTCAAAAATAAATCTCTCAAATTATCTTGGAGAAGGATAATAGAATACTAATTTCTAGCCAATCACATTATTAAACAAAGAATGTGTATTAGATGTTTGTACACAAATACATAAAGTAATATAAAAAGAGTATAGTTTAAAAAAATTAACACAAAGAATATATTTATTCGTCCATTATGTCTACTTCTAGTTGCTTCTTTAAATCATATTGGTTCAAAATATATTTGTGGGAAGAGTTTGTTTGTATTTAGTATTAAAAAAGTTGGTCCTTGAATCTAAATGAGATGTAATAGTAAATTTGAAAGCAAGGAGGGGTATTCAACCTATTACAGCTATCTGAAAAATTTCCTACCAACATTAAATTTATCTTTGAAATTTTTAAAAAAAAATTGAATTTAGAATAAAGAATTTCATCTATGCACACACTATTTTCAAATAACAAAAACTTAATAGTTCAACAAACATCGTCGACATTACAAACATTATTGTTAAAAATAATTTTATTTATGATCCTTCAAAGACACAAAACAATTATCAACCAAATCGATCTAAATTTAAAATTATTTTATGTGTTTATTCCCACTCTACACGACTTTATAAAGGAATTTATGTAGTTACGTTACATGCATATATAAGTGCAAGCACCCGCACAAATCTTCCATTCTATTCCACACAGCTTGAGCAAACGAATAATCGAAACTTGAAGTTATGATGATAGACTTTTGTTTTTTGTGCTAGCTTTGTATTGAATATTTGAACGATAAATGTATTTACTAAAGTTTTAATCTTCCAATTTTTTTTTGTTGAACAAGAATATTGAGAAACAAATTTTAATTTTCAATGTAATTGCAAAAATGTCATTTATTCTTTATTTTAACGTTTAAAATGCAAGACTAATTAATGGGTGATCCTAACAACCCACGTGCTTAGAGAGAGAATGTCTCACTTCTCTCTAAAAAGCTTATCGTGATTTTCCCTCCCACTGCCTTAGGGTTTTGAGAGCTTCCTTCAATTTTCATTGGTTTCCTTCCCCAACGACTGTTGGTTTCCCCCTCCAGTGTCTTGAAGGTCCCCGTCTCTTTAGGTTTGTCTTTTCGATGGATAAATGGAATGCGCTATCTCTGTTGAAAGACGAAAAAGAAGGTGTCGTCGCGGAGGTGGACGAAGTTGGTGGATATGAGATTTTTCACCGTACTCTTGCCTCTAAATTATGGACAGACCACAACTTCAATGTTAGGACTTTTACTACAACAATGATTAGTGCTTGGTGTAACACTCCAAATTTAATCGAAATATGTTAATTAATTATTTAATTGAGAATATTCATGTTTCGGTGAATTTTCGGTGGTTTTGTGAATATTGGAAAAATGTACATTTTCAGATGCTTATTTGATTAATAGCATATAATATTAATTTATTAGTATTATTATTAATTGAATGGAATATAAGTGAAATAAAGGCAATTTGGGCATTTGAGGGAGTTAGTAAGGATGATGAGGGAAAAGCCCAATGTGTGAGGCTCATGACTAAGTTAGACAAAATAGAGTTCTGAGGGGAAATTGGAATTCATTTGTATTTAATGTGAAAGTTTGGTGTGGCCAGAGCTCTGAAGGAAAGGTTGGAGGCAGAAGATCCCGAAGTTAATCGTGAAAGCTGCGAATCGACTAACGTATGGGGAGTATTTATGTTCATGATTTTCCATGTATGCCTTTAGATGTATTTATGGTGGATTTAGGATTTGAGAGTTTCTTAGTGGAATTGGGAAAGCTAAGAGAATCGATTAATGTGAGGAAGGAAACCTTAGGCTTTTGTGGCCAAAACCTTGGATAGTTGTATGTTGGACCCCGTAGGAATATAAATGTTCAAATGTGAGTAACTCTGATGCACTCAGAGCAATTGCAGGAAAATAGTGTTTTAGGCAGTGCAAATGTTTTCGGATTAGCCTAATGAACCATAGATTTTGTACCGTTATCGCCGTATGACCTTAGGGATGATTTAGGGATGTTTTGGGGGCATGAGACGGGTGAATCATATGAGTTTTTGGGTGGAAATCAGTTCTGGTGCGTAGCAGAAGTTGCTATCATCGCACTGTTCGTTCGCTACGAGACTCGCCTAGCGAGCGAGTCAGCGAACGTAGCAGAGTTCGCGAAATTGATTGTTTTGCAGCGATGTCGTGATGTGTAATTCTGGGATTTGTGGGATGGATTATCCCGAGTATGACAGTGGGTTTTGGGTGATGTGTACATGATGTATGATAGTTTTCTATGATGTATCGATTGAGTTAATATGATGAAATTACCATGATTTGATGAACTATGTGATAACATGAGACATGAGGATTTGTATGATTTATGTGATGATGATGAATATGATGAATGATGATGCACCATATGTTGTATTGTGAGGATTATTATTGTGACGTGTGCATCATGCATTCATGCGCATTCGATTGCTTTGGCTTCAATCCCACTGTGTGGATGTGAAGTATTTTGATGTGCTCCGATCCTATTGATGGGGATCTATGGAGGGTTGATGGCCCAGTGTCTATCGCGCTGTGATGATTGGTGCCACATGCATTGAGTCTATGTTGCATTTGCATTTATGAGCCTTTGTGTATAAATTTTGATGTTGTGGCCTTTGAGGCATAATTGAGGGTATGAATGTGTTGAATATGATTATGATGCCGTTTATGCATTAATTGTTATACATTGATTATTATGAACTGTTTTACTCACCCCGCCTGTTTGAATGTTACCTTCACATGGATAACGTGCAGATGATCCAGTTTAACCGTGGACTGCGGCGAGGAGTTAGTTTGAAGTTTTTGAGCGTTTTAGTCTTTTGGTCAGCTTAGAGGGTCTTGCTCTGATATGTAACATCGGATTGGGTTCCTTGAGTTGATTTTATACTATTGATGTTATTTTGATTAATTTCCCTCTTTGAGGAAGACTTTGAATTATGTTTGAATTCCGCTGTTTATGATGCTTTGACGTATTTTGGGAAAAACCCGTAGTTACAGAGTATGGGCCAATTTTGTTGACTTTGAGAAATGTACGCCCTTTTGTGCCTTTTTATGAAAGTTAATATTTTACTTTGAAATCCGTGTTATTTTGCCGTAATATCTGTGGGGTAGAATAAGGGTGTTACATTATTGGTATCAGAGCAGTTCGGCCCGTCCCGCCAAGTGTTTATGTTGTTAATCCCCTGTCAGTCGATAGTATGAGAATACTATCCAATTTAGCCTCTTAATGGAACAATCTCGATGAACGGATCTTGATTAAATCATTAGTCGCAAATGAAACACAACATAAGGATTCTGAATTACCTCTTGAAGTGTGCTTTAACATTGATCACTAACATGGAAAATACCATCACCTCTACGAAGTCCACGCAAGTACAAAGTGGTACGCGGTGCTGGCCGTCTTTTGTTCTGAGAAATTGACAATTATGATTGATAGGGAAAAGAGCTCCTCTCTTTATAGAGAGCTACTAAAACCCTAATGCTCTTATTTTGTGTTTTTCCAAAATAAGCTCAATCTTATTTAATTAAACTATTTCAATTAAATAAAATATTATTATATTTAACTAAACTCTTTTAATTAAATAAAATAAATATCAATTAAGTTAAGTTATATTTAATTTAATTAACTGTCAATTCTCATTTATTTAATTAAATCATATTTAATTAAATAAACTATATTTGCGTTAATTTATTAAATAATACAATTAACATCTTATTAAATTAAATCTTATTTAATTTAGTCATTCGTTCCATTGCCAGTACTTTATGCATCGTGTGACCATGTAGGTTCTCTTTATGTTGGCAATAATATTAAATCATGTATTTAATATTATAAACAGTGAGTGGTATCTAGCAACACATCACTGCTACCTAAGTAACGAGAATGTCATGTGATATGACATAGCCTTTATATGATAATGATCATGTGTATAATTACTCTTTTTCCCTTATATCTATATTGAACACATGGCATATAATATGTCACCCTTGTATAGTCAAATATTTTATTCCTTGATCAATGAGTATAATAACAAATAAGCTTAATATCTCATATCGACTTATTTGAGCACGACCACGCCTTTTACAGTCATACTCTATCAAGGGGCCTGCTGATATATTTCCGTATATGTAGGAGGGGCAAATCCCATATAGGTCACGCATGTCCCTTATCATGATTTATAAAGTACCCATAAACCATCTTTATGTTCATCCTGTTACGGACAATATTTGATTGACAATAAAGTGCTCGACTCCACATCTAGGGTCCATAGTGGTTTCAGATAGAAGGGCGGTATACATCACTATCACTATGAGAATAACTTATGACACTTACATAACAAACTATATAGTATTCTCATGGTAGGTCACTCTAGTGTAAATATTACTCCTAATATTTATACATACGTGAAGACTTGATATCTCATATCCCTGACTTGTGAGATACAATCATCAGTCTACTCACATAATAGTATCTATGCATTATTATTGTCCTATTTGAGAGTAAAGTTTAACTGTGGATACTTTAAGATATCGTCCTTATGTTTAATGAAGTCTCATGATTAAGTCACACTTAATATATCATTAAACAAACTAATTATTCTAAGGACTTTATTATGTCATATACAAGTAACACAATAAATAAAACGCCTAATAAGTATATGTAACAAACAATATATATCAAGGTCAAGATACAAAAGCATATACAACCAATACTGGTTGGCTATTAGGGCTTACTCCAATAGGGTCGTACTCCTCCTCATATTCAAACC